CAGCGGGATATCTGGTCAACCAATCCATTGCTGCAATTACTGTATCTTCGTCGGAGCGTACATCATCCCGCCCAAGGCACCAGCTGCCAGGCCCGATCTTTTAGGCCAATCAATGACACTATCCATTATTTGGATGGGTCTTCCCGATCTTTCGGTGTATACCCTTGTACACATTCACTTCCCTATACACCATGTGTCCCTGTGCATAGTCTATTAGGGGGCTATGGTAAGCCACAAAACACGATCATGTATGACCGTCTACTTATTAGGTAGCCCTACAATCCTACTGGGAAGTATCTGAACCATGAATGAGAAAGTAGACAAGATTATATCTTCAATCACAATGTATTTTCCAATACTTGAATATGTTCTGATACTTCAACTAGCTCGACGATCGGTCGGTGGGTTGGACCAAACGTCACCTTCGACGCAAGAAACTAAATTCTCTCCCTCCCTTTTTTTTATATTTATTTTCCCTACTTTTTTTAAACACCTTCCTTTTATTTTGGCTCATACGGTTACTTTCCAACATTGACTAGGCCTAGGGTTTATCGTAAACTCAGAAAGATGAAAAAATCAAGACAAGGAGGAATGGATTCTTATAGGGCGCTTGAGGACTCGGTACATAACTTCCACCGCGTCTCTCACGGAAAACCCCATCGGTGCACTAGATACAAATAGGCTTTTCCATAGTGCTCTAAAAAGCCACGCAGTAGCAATTCTGGAGCCTTGCACAACGCCAGCTCCACTATCAGTTCGCCCCCTTAAAGAACGGAGGCTTCTTAGCCTGACACACTGCCGCGCTTGCATAACGCTGTCAAGGAATGTGTCGTCGAGTCTGAGCACTTACAGAACCGTGCGAGAATCACTCTCTCGTGTCAAGGCTTTTGACGACCAACTCCATACAACCAATCTCCTTGGAATTTCCATAATTAAAGAAATCGCTTAATATTCTCTCTTTCCCTTTCATTTTAGTCTCTCATCGGTGTTAAATTCCTCTTTCTCTTATTGTTTTTGGTTTTATTCTTAGGTAGCCTTCTATCCTCACTTTAACGATAGCACGCTAGTCGCTCCTCTCTTTACCGACCGCCCTCTGAACGCCGCTCCGCAGCCCAAGGGTAAAAAAAACAAAAAAAAAAAAAAATCCAGAGAAAAAACATCAGGACAGCAGGGCTTTAGTTCGACTGCACCAAGGAATTTACAAAGAGTACCGTTGGACAAAAGACTGGCGTGGATTGGGAAGAAATTCAATCAAGAAGGTCCAATCCCTAATATGAGGGGCTGCGCATTCTGGTATGTTAAAGTGTTAAGATACCCTCATCTGCTCTTGTCGGTAGGATGGTGACGGATTCAATCGACTGTTCTTTCCTATAACCACATGATGAATTCACCTTGAATCTCTCGCTCTCTCCCTTCTTCTTGACGCATACCAAGGGGTAAACCATGACAATGTCAGCCTTCGTGATGGCTTCATGCATTCATAGCCCCCCCTTCCCCTTCTTTTATCGGCGCTCCTTACTGTTAATTGCTGCACGCCACTCTTTCTTCCTATCTCTCTAATGCAAAGCCATCTTTGTTTCTGGCCTGGATCGCTGATGACCATGCAACTATTTCTTAGACGCGGTCGCTCCGAGATAACCTCCTCTTCCACGTACGATCATTGTTTGCTTTGACAGCGTTTTCGACACCGACATTTAGGAAACTTATTGGCAAGGCTGGTCCCATTGCAGTCGGTGAATTTACCGTGCGATCTCTCTCGATATACTCCAAGAATACATGGGGCATCACCTCTTCCTGAAAGAAGGGATAAATTTAGGATATTCTCGCCCTAGAGGTTTAGAAAGAGCCAACTTTTTTAGAACAAGGGTAAGTTCTAGAATCTGGGGTCTCTCGACTAGTCTGTTTCAGCATCCCAAAAATATCACCGATTAACTATGAACGTACGTGCATTCCGTGCTAACATATGATTTTGTGAGTAATAGGTCAATCTTTTTTCCCTTTAGAATTCAGTTAGCCGCTTGGTTTATCGCTTTTGCCGGCCTCCCCCTGACGATTTGTCCACGCCGCTATCTGACCCGCGATCAACGTCTAAGATGCCGTCTAGACAGTCCTGTGTTCCGAATTTAGATCTCAGCCCTTCCACTCTCCAAGCAAGCGCAAAGACTTCGTCCCCACATACACCTGGTGCAAGCTCGGATGGACCCAGTCCCCTGACACCGCGATCACCCAAATCTTCGTCAAGTTCAACGTTCTTCAAAGGCACCACAATCCGCTCTGTCACACAAGAATCGAATAGCAAAGCAAATAGCCCAATCCTACCAGTCTCCCCCGGCCTCACCGCAGAATCACCTACTCAAGGCGTCACGGCCATTCCTCAGTACCCTCCCTCGCCACGAGATTCCCCCAAACATAGTCGCGACCCCTCGCGTTCGTTCTTTGCGAATTTAAAGGCACCGAAGGTTTCTCACAGGGCTCAGAGGTCCGATAGCTCGGGAAATTCGGGCGACAAGCCTAGGAGTCGTGGCAGTTCTAGAGATCGCAGAACACAGATATCATCAAAGCTATACGAGTCAACTCCGGACCTTCCCGGTGCCATTGAGCGTGCGGCACAACAAGAAAACAGTATGTCCACAGTCATGTCTGTCGCTCCGTTTACATACACTGACACACGCTCTAGACAGTTATTCTTCCGACGACAGGCACGCGCAGCAAGCGGAAATTAAGCGAGTTGGGACGGAGTCTGAGTCTGGTCATACTCTTAAGAAGAGCAAACCACGCTTTGCCAATCTCCTTTCTCGCTCTCGATCAATCAGATTGGACGACTCCTCTGTGAACAGGATTGCGCATAGGCGTCCATCAACCAGCCTTATGAGACTTGAAGAAAGCGCCAGAAGGGAGGCACAAACGCTCCCGAAAGCAGCAGAAGTCAAGCCCACTGGGAACCCTCACGTCCGCAGTTATACCATCGACCGTCTGACGGACGTCAACAGCGGCTCGATACGGAAAGACAGATATGGCGGGTCGATGGTTCCTTCCGCTTCCCTGAGTCAAGTATCGGGTGCTTCAGCAGCGCTGTTCAATAATATCAAGCAGTCATCGAGTGGTGCTGCGGATCGAATTGGCAAGGCAGGCAAGGGATTTTTCGGGAAGATCACCCGGAGTGGCAGTACTAATGAGCGGGAACTCATTAATGATGACAACTATGTCTGTTCCGTGATCAATCTGCCGCTTATTGAACAAGCCCGTCGAACTCGTATCGCGAAGCGGCTTGAGGATTGTAAGGATAAGACTGAGTTTTGGATGCCAGCTTTACCATATCGTTGCATTGAGTAAGTTTTCACGCCATCCCGTTCGAATTGGTAGGTTACTGACGTTACATCAGCTACCTCAATTTTAAGGGATGTGAGGAGGAGGGACTTTACCGTGTTCCGGGTAGCGGAAAAGAGGTCAAGCATTGGCAACGGCGCTTTGATACTGGTAAGTCAATTAGGCAAACCTCTGCGAAGAAAGTGCCTTTAACATTCATCCAGAGCTTGACATCAACCTCTTCGATGTACCGGACCTCTATGACATCAATACGATTGGCTCCATGTTCAAGGCTTGGCTTCGAGAATTACCCGATGAGCTTTTCCCCAAAGAAACACAGGCCATGATCGCCGAGAAATGTGAGGGGGCAACCACTGCTCCACAGATGCTCAAAGATGAGCTTTCAAAGCTACCCCCCTATCACTACTATCTTCTCTTCGCCATCACATGCCACTTAAATCTTCTACATTCCTATGTTGATCAAAACAAGATGGACTACCGCAACCTCTGCATCTGCTTTCAGCCTTGCATGAAGATAGATGCCTTCTGTTTTAACTTTCTCGTCTGTGACTGGAAAAACTGTTGGCAGGGTTGCTGGACAGAGAAGGAATATCTTGAGATCGAAAAGGAAATGGACGAAAAAGAAAGATTAGCTCATACAAAACAGGATACTGGTGCGAGTTTTCCACAGGCCACGAGTGTGGAAGAGAGAGCTATATCTTCTTCCGGTAGCAGCCAGCCTTCCATTCAAGAGCAACCTTCTCGTCCTGAGACGGCTAAGGCCCGCAAGAACAGACCCAAGAACATTGAGACGACACATACTAGGAGTATTTCCCAGCTTCCTGAACTAGGGCCTCCGCTCTCTCCTATTCAAATATGAGAACACCCCAGCCGAAAACCACTGTTCAGTTTTGATGGGTTGAGCCCTTCGTTCCATCGATATGAGCCTTCTATATTTTCTAATGGGTTGACGCACAAAATTTCCGGCATTGCACATTTGAGCTCTTCGGCCAGGCTGGCCTGCGCATATCTCAAATTTTTAGACTTGAGACCTGAAAATTGCCAGTTCAAAGTCTCGGACTGGATCCGCACTGCAAGCGTTATTCTCCTTACTCCGAACCTGAATCTTCGCAATATTTTTTCTATTCTACTTTAATCGGTTTTACGGACTGCTTTGCTTCCTTCATGTCTATTTGCTTTCTGTTTCTAGCCATTTTCGCTCCCCTTTAACCTTTCTTATATCATTGTGCATGTCTGGCGCCTTCGGAGTCCGTTGATTTTATCCTACTCTACCATATCTCTTATTTGGCTTGTACAAATTCGAATTGTTCTTTTTATCATCCGAACATGTTGTCTCTCGACTTTTCTTTATATTTTTTATTTTTATTTCTCTATTTTTGTTGTCATTTGCCTCCTTTTACTCGTTCCATCATTGTAACTTTTGGCGAGTATTTGCCTCAGGCATCTACAAAGCCACATCGATGTATTTTTGCTCTTTGCGTTTTATACATTCGTCGATTCCCCACATAGGAGTATGTTTTGGTACCTTACCTTTATGGTTCATTTTTAACTGCATGTTTCTGGAGTGCTGTGCTGGTACATATTTTGTAACATAGATCAATGATTGAACCATATTTCACACCGAGAGATTCTGATGGAATAGCAAATGCCTCCTATTGCGTTACAAGAATGAGGTTCTAGGTATAGAGCCACAGAAATATGCTAGCAGAATATACATGAGTTGTTCTGGGGCACTAGGCAAAGACAGAGAATAAAGTGTTAAAAATCCGACACAGCTGTTTTACTTTTGAGCCCAAATGGTAGCAATCCATTCAGGCAACATGAGACATCAAAGACCGGCGACTCCAATCCAAACGCCTGATAAGCCCAGTATTCCAGACAAATAAAGAGTTGAGGATTTTGGTCAAAGCCCAACGGAAGAGCTTTGATTAATAAGTTGCACAACTCATCTCTTAACCACCGCCCGACTTCCTGGATTTCCGCTCGTTATTCCTCATCTTCCTTTCGTTGCGTCGTATCCTCTCCTTGCGCTCAGCCCGCGACATACCACGGATTGAGCTTCCCTTAGCCGCAGCTTCCTCCTCTTTCTTCCAATCCTTCTCATTTACTTCAACCAACCAATCCTCATCCGACTTATTCTTTCCCTTATAACCCCAACGAGGGACCCACTCGCCCTTCTCTTCATCATAGACCAGCTTCTTCCGGCGCTCCTTTTCTGCAAGCCCTGCACCAGCCTTGCCACTGAATCTGCCAATACCCTTCTTGCGCGCAAAAAGCTCCCACTTGGTGGGTGGCTTGGGTGTCGGCAGAGGCTTATGTCTGGGAAGAACAGTGGTGGGAGCAGGAAGCGTCAGGAGCACACCCTGTTGTGAGGAGGTAATAGGACAAGTAGTGAGAAGTTGGTTGAGGAGAGACTGCACACCATCGCGGGCGGTGGCCTTCAGAGAGACATTTACTGGTTCGGAGCGGGAGATTTCGAGAGGGTTGGGGTCATTCGCAAGGAGATGGCCGAGATCAAAAGTGTATGGAGTAGGTTTGGAGACTGTAATGGGTCTGCGGTGCCATTGCAATTAGTATACCTCGTACATGCGATCTATACATCGACTACTATAGATAACGACTCACAGTCTCTCGGGCTTCGATTTTGGTGCCGCGGAGGCAGCCGTCGTTGTTCCTGTTTCCGACATTGTCAAGCGCACCTCAGTTGAATCCAATGAGGTATTATATGCACTAGAGAAAGTGCGACAGGATTGTAAGATTGACTAGCCGCTAGGAAAACTGAAGCGGAAAAAAAAGTTGGTTGATAAATTTTGGGGAGCCGCTTTAAGGTGAGCACAATATTGACAGACCGCCTTCAGAGTTGGGCTTGCGGCAACTACACTAGCCCCGAATAGGTAATCGGAGGAATCTTAGTTGAAGTTCCAAATTGTGCTCCGAATTTCAAGCCAGTTCATACGCTTGGGCAACAATCAACGCGGCCTTCCCTTCCTTTATCCTACAGCAGTTTCCATTGACCGTCGTACCACTGGCCGCTGAGCCAGTGTGTTGCAGCACAATGGTCTCCTCCTTCTGCTGGGGCTGCCTGACGCGGCTTCGTCCGACACCTCGAGCCGTTTTACCTCCGCCGGTAGCAGCACCAAGAGCAGCAGCATTCCACACATCGACGGTGCGTTATGCATTGCCAACGAAGAAGAAAAACAGCTTGGATGGTCCTCCCAAGTACCGTCAGGCCAAATCCGCCAGAATGAAGAAGAAGAAGCCGGTTGAAAGGGCGCGTCCGCCTCCTGTCGGAGAGCGGAAAGCGCTGCGGAAACGTATCGTTCTCAGCAATCCCAACGCCCTTGAAGTCGAGGGTATGCAGGACTTCACATCGGAGACTATGGTCGATGCGCGCCTCCGGGGATCTGTTCTTGGCCTTCCTGTGCCGATGCTCACTCAGCTGAGGGCGGTTGAGGCTTTCAAGCCTAAACAAGGCTGGTCGATATTCCGCCGGCCTGGCACAGTGGTGAGACGAGAGACACTGGAATTGGGCAGACTGATCGATTCTATCTCTAATGAGGGTCAAGACAAGGGAAAGTCTGTCAAGAAGATCGTCACTGGTGTCAGAGGGTCAGGAAAGACGGTTCACTTGCTGCAAGCTATGGCCATGGCTTTTACCAAGCAATGGGTTGTGTTTACTGTTCCAGAGCGTAAGTAGATATTATCTATATGTGTATCCTTCAAGTCTTTCTAACACCACTTTAGCCCAGGACCTAGTAATTGCGCATACTGGTTACGCTCCTCTCTCTGATGAAACCCCAAACCTGTATGTTCAGAATGAGGCGACCGCTGCATTGCTGTCCCGCACAGTGACCGCCAATGAGCAGGTTTTGAAGACCCTACACGTTTCCCGAGAGCATGCTGCCCTCAAGTCTTCCGTTAAAGCTGGAATGACTCTAGAGGAGCTTGCCAAACTTGGTATCCAGGACCCCGCCATTGCCTGGGCTGTCTTTCAAGCATTGTGGGCCGAGCTTACTGCAACCTCTCCTGCTTCTGGATTTGATAAGAACTTTAAGCCTCGACCTCCTATGCTTGTGACTGTTGATGGCCTCTCTCATTGGATGAAGAACAGTGAATACCATTCTGCCGAATTTGAGCCTGTCCATGCTCACGACCTTGTGTTCGTGCGGCACTTCCTCGGGTTATTGAAACCCGGTACCGGAAAGCCTGCCCTACCAAATGGTGGTCTCTTGCTCTACTCCACTTCAGCTTCCAATAACCCAACGATCTACAGTTTCGAGGTTGCACTCAAGCAAATCGCTGCTCGCCAGGCTGGCCTGAATGCTTCGGCACCTGAATTCCCTCAAGCTGATCCATACAGCGGAGCTGACAAGCGTGTTATTGATGCCTTTGATTCATCGAAGCCCACTGTCGCCAAGGAAGGCATGTTGGAGCTCCAGACACTTGGCGGCCTCACCCGGGACGAAGCTAGGGGCTTCATGGAATATTTTGCTCGCAGTGGCCTTCTGCGGGAGAAGATCAACGACGAATGGGTTGGCGAGAAGTGGAGCTTGGCTGGCGGTGGCGTGATCGGTGAATTAGAGAAGTTGGGAAGACGACTGAGAGTGACCGATTAGATATGGAATTGCTTCTCTCTTTGCAAGCATCATCTAGATTCCCGTTATGCTGTCCCACGTGTACCCTTTATCCCGCCGTTTCCTTTTCACATGCAGCGCTATTGGATGGACTCGGCTTTTTCTGTTAGATTATATGTATTTTACTAGTTATACTGGGTTTTGCGTTTTTGTATGCATATAATGGAATTTGAAAATATATATCTCACTTCCCTCACAATTCAAGTATGTGGACAGATTAGAAAAGGGGCCTGTCATATTAAACACCGAATGGTAATCAATAGTTTGCCTAAATATAAACCGGTGGGGAACCCCGGAGATAGTGTCAGGCGCAGGCGGAGATCAAATGATACCTAAAATAATTTGTTCGATTAATCACTTAGGCACAGCCTTCTTCTCTTCCGTCGCTGTACTTTTCTCTATACTTAATTAATCTTACAGCAACACGACTCTTCATGTGAGAGTTGTGTTGTTGCTCCAAGTCAGCAACAGGTCAGCAGATCAGTTCATCACTATTTGGGAATCGTCACTCCCCTGACGCTCAAACCCCGCGTTCCTGCTTCACTTCAGTAAGTTGGGAGTGACCTCTACAAGCCGCACAGCAGCTTACTCGTATACTATTCTAGATATGTACGGGTCGCATCCTCACTCTAACTCTTCTGGCCAACAAAATTCCGGTCCCCCAGTACCAGAATGGCGGCTTCCATCGACTGCGCAACAGCGGCCTTCACGGAAGCCTACGCCTGGGCCTACTCCACCGCCGCCTCCACCACCACCTCATCCTCCACTATCGACATCTTCTTATAATCCGAGCACGTATGGTTCTATATCTAGTCCCTCGACTGGCTCATCCGGCATGGATACTAGTGCCTGGGGAGTAAAGTACAACAGGCAGCAATATCCTATCTACGCGCCTCCGCCGCTTCCTGTAAGGCTCAACTCCAGTGCGCCTAGCTATTGTCGTACTGACAGCATCTTGCAGCCTCGGCCCCCGAGTACTCCAGCCTATTCTTCTAGTACACAGTCTCCGATAGTGAGCCCATTGGATAATCAGCCCTTGCCAGTCCATCCAACATATGGGCCTCCAACTTCAGCTACAGAATACCAATCACAGTGGACGACAAATGCTCCACATGCATCTCAACCCCCTGTGGCTAGCTCTCTATCTCCACCTCCGCCGCCTCCAGTACCTCCTGGGTATCAAAGCTCAATACCACAGCAAGGTAGTCAAGCATCGCATCAGTTGTCGCCTCCGCCTTATTCGGTCCTTCCTCATGGAGAGTCTCATAGTCAGCAAAATAGTAGTGTCCAACAGCATGCTTCACTCTCTTCAACAAACGTCTCATCACCCCAACCAACATTACTGGGACAAGTCCCACTGACCGCTGCGAATCCCGTACCATGTGAAGCTGGCCTACCTGTGACCGCTCCCCCGGTCCCTCCTAAGACTAGCCACAATGCTCTTCCCACAAACGCCACCGTAATGTGCCCGGGTGGGCCTTCTGACTGGGAGCATTTGACACCTATTCCAGGGGAAGTCGATGATGTGGAGGCTTTTAGGTTTAAACAGGGCAATGGCGTTCATTCAAGTGCTACATCGGAGCCAACACCAGGCTATCCAGCACCATTTCCCACTGCAGCTTCGAGTAATCAGACTGTGATATCTACTCCGTCTGCGGATGTGTCCCCTATAAGTCAGCCTGTTCATATCAAAGATACCACGGCAGCGCAACCTTTTCCGGGCAGTACCAGCGTAACACAAGGCATTCAAGATCCGCCTCGTCCAATCAGAACGGATACTTCTGGGTCGATGTACAGTACTGCCTCTACTACGGAGACATCTGAGAGCATTGATGGTGTCATTGAAGCCTGGAATCGGCCCGTTACTACGGACACTCAAGCCTCAATCGCCCAAGCCGGTCAAAGCATCAGTTCTCGAACGGATAGCCCAACACCAATGCAAAAGCTTAGCCCGCTTGAAATCCCCAAAGTAAAACAGGATTTCAGTATACCGCGAAAAGAGGTTCAATCGGGCGCAAATACTCCCCGCTCAAGCAACACCCCCAACGAAACGAGTGCCAAGGTAGACGCATCACCTCTACAAATCAAGCTGTTGGATCCTTATGAAGACTTAGATCCTTGGTCCAAGTCCTCTTTGGAGCGCTACGTGGCTATGTTACGAAAGGAGGCGGTTGCTGATTCTGATATGGAGCGTTTCAAAATATTCACAGCTTTCATGTCCAAGGAGACTAAACTGCGTGAGATCTTGTACAACATTGAGCATGAACCAAAAAAGGAAGAAGCTCCAAGCCAAACACCGACACCAGCTCCACAGGAGTCTAGCCAGAAGTCTGGCAAGGCTACACCTCCAGTTGAGTCTGGCTTAATACCGGTTGAACCAGATGAGAGCAACGAGGAGTCGGCCGACTCTTCGGAAGACCTTGAAGACGGGAAGTATAGCCCAGGGGGCCGTCCTATCCTTCCCAGGGTTAAAACGCCTAGCACTCTTGGTCTTCAAAGACCTGCTTCTCAACCGCCGGGCAAAGTACATAGTCCAGGTCATCAAAGTCAGCCCCAACCATTGAGGGCTACGTCGGTCCCACCTTCTATGCTTGATAAACAGGAGCTGTCTCCTTTAGCAACTAACCCCCCACAACCTATATACACACCGTTTCGTTACACCGAAGGCCCTCAACGGGGCTCTGATCACCTTGTAATTGATCGCCCTGCATACCAGGCCTACTCGGCCTTGCGACAAGCCTCGGCGGAGAGTGGGCGGGTGATGTCGAACGCCCCACACCCAGGATCTCAAGAAGAATCCCACTCTACGGCTCCTCTTGCAGGAAATGATGACGAAACTTTCATTGGGCTAATTAGGGAGAAAAGCGTTGCTTACCGCAAGGCATCCCGTAGGAAGTCATCTCCGCCTCCTTTACCAATGTCACTCAGGCAAGGAAGGCCTAGTGGGCCAGTTGATGATCTGCGCTCCATGGTATCGTCACCGCTGGCTAAGCAATCAGAAAGTTCATGGCACATTACAACACGAAAGGACCTCGAGAAGTATTCAAAAGACTTTAGTTATATAAGGGAGACGTTTGGATCCTGGGAGGCTGCGAACAAATCTCGCAGAGAAAAGTTAGACAAGCAGCGCATGCATCGTCAAGAGGAGTCCGAGAAACGCATTGATGCGTTGTTCAATGGGAGAGAGATAGGATATGCGGACATCAACGTCCTTGAGGAAGAATTTCGCCAAACGGAAGCTCGTGCTCAATTAGACGAGGAAAGACAAGAACTGGATGACTATATAGCAA